CGGCATCATGAGTCGCAGTTGTGGCTAACTTCTTCTTTTTGTGCTCACGCCGTTCGTGGTTGCGGAAAGAATGGCAGCTGCCCCAGCAGCAGCAGCAGCAGCAGCAGCAGCAGCAGCAGCAGCAGGGAGGAGGAGCAGGAGTAGGTAGAGGTAGTACTACTGCTGCTACCGGTGCAGCTTACTGGTTCATTATTGCGACATATTGCGACCACCCTCCATCCGTAGACCAAAACCGCGAAGCTGGATTTTTTGAGTATTATTGGCAGGCTATGATAGATCAAAAGCTGCCAGCTATCAATTTGAGCGACACAATTCAACCCTGAACCTGGTCTTTGAACTATCCAAGCCATCTGTGCCAAGTTGCCAGGGCACTGATGCACGTGTTGTAGCTACGGGTGTTGGGATCCACACCATCCTCGTCAGTGCCAAGTAAGGAGGAAACCAGGGTCTGGAAGCTTAAGGAGAGCGCCACCTGTTTGTACGAACCGATCGAAAGTTTACAGGGGAGTAACAAGCGATAGCAGGTGCTCTCCAAGGCCGCAAACGCACAGGTCATATCGAGGCGCCACAGCTACTTGTTGTGGAACTGCTAGAGAAAAGCACGGAGGACGATCTGACGACGACGGCTAGCCAGATTGGACTACAGTACTTTGATGTGCAGAGTGGTCTCACAGCTTGGGATCTGTGTGATGGAGCTGCCTGCTTAATCCAAAGCCTCAGGTCGGTACTTTCATCCCGGTGTCCACGACTCTTGGACGCAGCTACCCTAAACCCTAAACCCTATACCAGCCAGGCACCTTACAGCCTTCGGAACATTCCATGCAGAAGACGCACAGGGTGATCCCTCTTGGGACAAAATTACAGATTTGACCCAAGCCTAGATCTCCTCATAGCACTGCGAATGCTGTAACGTGATGAAGGGGTCATGTCATTAGTCTGCAAGAACTGATAATGTTGAGACAGGTGCCGGAACATGCTGACAACCACCGCGTGGGCTATAAACAATGTTGATCAGCTCCTGGATACGTCATAAGTTCCCCCCTAACTGCTTGAACCTGCGTATGGCAGGGGCCTTAATAGCCCACAATGTCCTTACGAGGTCTGTTCAAGGTAGCCTACACCATCACCATTTAATCTATGTAAGGAGTTTAGAGCACCAAAACCAATACTGGTCAGCAGTCAGGCTTTTACCTTATGGGAAAAGAAGGTCCTGCGACATGGCAGCAAAGGTCGACACTGCCCTCTCCCAGTGGGTGGCCCTCTCCTGGGCTAGGGTTGTGGGTTTTGGCCCGGCAGTTGCATGACGAAAGACTAATGCTATCCACAAATCATTAGCTTAATCTGTGTACATATAGGGGGACTGGTTAACACTTCACTCTCTTGCTACCTAAGGTTTAGAAGTCTAGGCTTGGGTCTTAGTATCTTATTGCTGTATCTCAAGCACGTGCTTCCAGCAAACTAATCAAAATTAATGCGAAACCCCCACCTCCAGGGCTCTAGGATGGGCCCCATACTGTGGATATTAACAATCCTATATGACCCCAGGTTCCTTAAGCCTTGGTAGTTATGGTATATTGGTGGAATCAGGTCATGCAGGATTTTTGACATCAACAATAAGGTACCTACATGCCTCCAAGGTATGTGTGACGCTCTTGATTTGTCCAAAAATGGTCCAAAATTGGTGCAAGGCGCTCCTGGGAAGAATCTTTCCGGCAACTACTTCATGGAAACTAAATGGCCAACTACATGAGCTATAGTGAAAAATCCTAGCATCCCCGTTAATAACCCCCTATATCCCCATATAATCCTCTATTTACACCCCGGTTAACGCGTTTAGACTACAGCTCACATGGAAAGTATCAAGCCCTTGCACCAGGGCGCTGCCAATCCAAGAACCCCTCCCAGAAGCCTCGGAAGAACAAAAAAACACACTAGGCAGAATCCTGCTTTTACTGATTAGCAGGTCGCAGCTGAATCTGACGTGCTGCAAGTGCTTCTGGTTCTAGGTCCTCTGAGGAAGGACTGTGCAATAACATTTGAAGCTACAAAGCGATGTGAACTTTCGAGATCACACAAGTGTAGAAGTCCAATCTTGCTCCGTATCTTCATGAGGACTAGGGTCAAATGCCTTACAGTTTTACAGAGAAGGATCTCGGAATGCTTGGAATGTATCTAGAAGGACCCTGTAACGCAGCCCCCGTGTAGCCGCGACAAGTTCATGCCACAAAACCCCCACTAACCCTCAACAGCCGGACGAGCTCAAGACAGGCCTCCAGCGAGCTCACAGTGGCCTAGCCCAATGCAAGCAAAGTCATGGACTTATGGAGCAGGGTGGAGGCTTGCACTTCAGGGAGCCCGTGTAAGAGCTTGGTGCATACGGTCCAGACAATCTCACGCATTACTAGTATACTTAGATTCCACAAGGAGTGGTTACGCTCAACGGTTCTATAACGCAACACTGATTCATGTAAGTTGCCCGTGGTCTTCATTTCGCGGAGGCAAAGACTAGCCCCATGTCTGTGGAAGCCCCTATTGAATTGCAAGAATTTTGCCTTCTCCTAACTTCAGCAAGTATGTCTCACAATTTTAAAGCTCACCAGGCAAGAATGACGTCTACTC